GTTGGTTGTTTCCCTTCGGCTACTTGATGTAAGATGTGTTCGGAGAAATTGAAATCGATAGAGTATCGAATTCTCAAGTAACGAACGGAGTATGCAATCGGGGTGGGGGTACTAGTAAAAGTGATCGGTACTTCTGCGGCAAAGTATCTGACATTTACCTGGCGAAAACCGCATTGACCTGGTTTAGCTCCAACTGTTTAGAGAAGATAGAGTTTCGCGCATATTTTGTATAAATATTGCCAGATGGTCACCTGGAAATGAATACAACGGTATGATGTCGTTCGCAAACACAAATGGGCGCCCGTGTCTATTGTAATAACATATTGGAATATGTAAGGTAAATGGTGAGTTTATCAAATGTCTATACCATTTCTCGGACAAGTTGTCGTCTTGGGCAACAGAATTAATCTGAGGGGGCATCCAAAATGAGTCTACTCAATTAATTTGTTCCGTGCGTAGGAGCTGAAGCGTCCCACCTGTACCCCTATGACTTAGTGCGTCTGAGGTCCAGTTGGCTGAAGGCAACAGGCTATACAAGCACACCTACACACCTGCACAAGTGACTGGCGTTCGCACGGAACAAATTAATTCAGTAGACTCATGTTGAATGCCCCCTCAGATTATTTCTGTTGCCCAAGAGGACAACTTGGCCGGGAAATGGTATAGTGACCCATGAGCGAGGCCACTCGAGACCATTACAGAAGCGACGACCGGTCCTGCAGAGAAGGTAGGCAGAACCGGCGCAGCGTTTGTAGGTACGCTGCATTCGATTCGATTTACTAACCGCGTGCTTGCATGCTAAATCTCTTTATTTCAGGTGGTGGGTTTCCAATTTTGCCTAAATGCTTTTCCTTCTCATATAAACGTCTACCTGTACTCTATTCCATTGACTTGCATACCTCGCTTAGGCCAATTGTATTCGATTTCCATAACATTTATGTGTTCGTGGCATTTCCGTGAACTTATCTAGGATTCGTTTGTAAGCAACTCATTTCATATGTTCATTAACTTAAGGTTTATGTCACCGTTTCCTTATGCATTATTCGAGTTATTTTCTTGGTATCTCTCTCTCTCTCCCTCTCAAATGATTGGCTGTTGTTTGATATCCCCTGTGTGACTGCGCTTGATGTGCATGTTGACAAGGTGCGTACCTGTTTATTACCCGCTACCTCGTCCATCTGGCTCCAGGAGACAGTTGGTCGTTGCTGGAGGGGACGAGGTGCACGGTCCTTGTGGCCGTGTTAGAATCAAAGAATGGTTCCATGCACTCAGTGTGGAGCGGACTACGGTCTAGCCACCGCCTTGTGTACGCTTGATTCCCCAAATACAGCGTGCTTGTGTTTGCCTCTGAAGGAGTGTGGGCAGGCTCCGTTGATGAAACGTGGTCCCCATCCGCATGCCTCCCGATCTTATTTCTACGGGTTTACACTGAATATGGGGTGTGTGGTTGGAGCTGTGGGTGATGCAGGGCAAGCCACCCATGGTCCCTCTGTAGGCGCAGGCGTCCTGTGGCTTGCCACAGTGACAAGCAAATCCGAAACCGGATGCCGCCAACCATAAGGCAGTTGGTTACGATGCGAAGTGAACTGTTTCGGCTGCTGGGCTATAACCCAATGTTTGCTAGCTACCCACCCAGTTGAATATATGTCAGGGATAATCCGTGGAAAGTAAAGATAATGTAAAACATCGCTCCCGTTACAACTGGTGCCCGATTGAATAGCCTGTTGAGCCGGCGTATATCATATAGTCCCAAGGTAACCGGTTCGAATCGGGTTGGGTGTAAGCGACAGCAGTATCCCCAGCTAGAGTGCGTCTGTCTAATGGTGGTTGCGGCGCACCGGGTACTGCCGAATTACCCTTTAACGGACAGCCGCGGTGACTGCCGTTGAGGGCGCAGGTTTGAGCCTGCGTAGGAACTGGGCGACCGTCACAGTATCCTTAGACCAAGTGCGACTGGTGGTGATTGCGCGGCAGCGAAGCGTCAGTAATGCATACTGATGCATTGCTAAAGCTTGCTTTTGTGATCGACGTTAGTTAACGACGCTTTAGCAGTTCATTATTGGAAGTGTACAAAAGGATTGAGATCAGACAGATAACTGCCAACCATTAGTGTCGAGCAGACTATCTTTATCTAATCAATCCAAACAAGGACGAAACACCGCATAAAACAATATCTTTCCGTTTGTGAGGTGAAGCTGGTGGGTTCAGCAGCAACGGAGGGCTCTGTGACTTCCTTAGAACACTCTAATATAGAAGAGTAGCCAACAACTTTGCTGTATCTCTAGTGTTAGGAACACACCTGCGTCCCTCAGTGCAGGCAAGAGGAGAGATTACCCAATTTGATAGTTTATGTTCAAAAGAATGTGGTGTAAGCAATAGGGCTTCCTACATCACTTTCATGTTTACGCAGTTTGCGGTGACCAATAAGCTATCCAGGGGAATGAACACTGCGCGCATCGGTAGGAGATCAACTATCCGAGAAAAATCTGAAAATCATCAGGGTTGATTTGACTTATGCGCAGAACGCTGAAACGTCAATATGGATAACAAATGCGGCCTATATTCCCAAGACTAATGCAGCGACTGTGAAGTAGTCTACAACGGAACAGTCAAGTTACGGATTATGTGCGACAGTTGAGAATTCAAACAAGAGTAATATTAACCTTAGTAGCCGAAGATGTGGTAACGTTGCGCGGTGACACCGCTATATGATGGATAGGAATTAGACACAGGTCGGCTACCTATCTTCCTTACTGGTTGACGATGTTCGCTGATGCTTCGCGATCGATTACCCCCGGTTGGATGCATATTAGAAAACTAGTCGTACGCAGTTCAATCATAACCGTTCATGTATTTCATTCGATGTGACCCGACGCTTTTGCCGAATAATGCACTGCAATGCAACGGTCAAAGTCGCGGAAAAACATGGCAACCGGTGACAAAGTCGACTGTGGTTAACGAAAGCAAAGTGACCAAACGGCTACCCGACCGGCTGTGTGCGGCAGTCAATTGTCACATGTTGGCCGCATTTGCATGATGCAAATTAGGAACACAAAGCTGTGTCAAGGATGCATCCTGAGTGTTGTCGGTAAGTAGAGATGTAATCGTTTCCGTTTTACCAAAATGTTGTAGAGAAGCACTGTTCAATTATGGATTGATACAAGTTGAAAGCACCTTGTTTTGTTTTCGGTAAATGATCTTAAGTGAGTATTCCGGTCTACAAGAGCACCTCGGCGTTTATTGCTTGCAAATTCTGGTGAAAGCTTCACCATCGAAGTTCAGAAAAAAACGCAAGACTTGCGGCTGGACTCCTCGTCCGTCGGGCATCTCGACTTCCACATCTCCAGCTCATGAGAAAGGGCACAGACTACGATTGATGCAGGACGCAATTTTGCATGCCAGGATGATAATTGGAAAATGCATGCCAGAAGAAGTAATGGAGTGTCACCGATGAGGCCAGCGCTTATCCTGCCTGGTCAGCTTACGGGGTCATGGTCGAGTATCCACCCGGCTGTAGCACTGATGTGCTCAGAGCCACTTACGCTAAGGGGCAAATTTGTGAGGACTTCTTATAAAAGAGACAACACTTGAAAAGGAATGACCTAACAAGTTTAGGCAACAGCGCGGAGGTGGAATTCAAACGGAATGAATTTCGGCAAGCTAAAAAGAATCTGTCATGCTGGTCCATCATATCTACATAGGTTAGGCAGCTGTTTGTGACGGTATCGCATTGGCGAAATATGAACATCTGAAAGTCAGATGTTTGGCTAGGGCAATTGGTTACTCGCTGAGTTCCCGTCACCCAATAAATTAATACTCCACAGTAATACATCCTTTAATAAATATTGACTGCAAAGCCTCCTTAAAAGGTATGGATGCATTGGGACTGTTGCTATAAATAATGAAGCCGATAGTGGTGATGACGATAATGAAGCAGCCGGAATTCCGATTCTTCCATAGAAATATCGCACATTTGGTAAGGCTCGTAAGTATACTTGCTCGCCAACTCACAAAAAAATGTTCGGATTCGATTTCCTTGGTTGTAATGACAAAATTCGTGGGATGTAGTTAACTTCATCATCATCATCATTATAATCATCAACACACATTAGCCGAGAGTGAGAAACAAACACACACAGAGTTAATGTGACGCAATACAAAAAAGTAGGACATTGAGCAATGTAGACTTGAAAGCTATAAAAAAGCAACACAATGCCAATATTAGATTTCTGGTGGCTGTTAGAGGGGGAAGCTAAAGGGAAGGGAGGGACAAAGAGAGTCACAAGACAAACGCCATTCAGTGACCAAGAGACTGGAATGAACATCGTCGCAATCAGTCGCATGCGCAGGGAGTTGTGGCAACCGCCAGACACACGTTTGCTCAGGTGCGCGCCCTCGCAGCACCAACCGCGGCGGGGCCCAGCATCTGTAGTGCTACTGGTACCGAGGAGAGCACCTACTGAGCATAGCTCAACACCTACTGCATTGTTCACCAGGATGAGACTACATGGGAGTAAGGAGAGAACGCGCATCCGCCTGTGTGAACAACTGCACCAGCTGTGACAGAAAGCAGCAGTGGTGCAGAGGAATGAGCATATGCGAAAAATAAGTGAACTTTCGAGTGACGGGTTACAAGTGAATGGAAGGGGGATAGTGTTGCATGGTCAAAAAGCGCATAGGCACTAAGGATAGATGAAGAGGAAATACCACCCCTAGCCTGCAATAAACCGCCCGGCCGAAGTGATGACAGATGCAGTACAGTATGGAGGCACAAACTGATTAGAGATGTGATGTTCAAATGCCGATAGGTATTAGATTCGAGCAAAAAGGTAGCTTAAGCGCATACCGCAATTTGGCGTCTTAAGATTTCATGATTAGGTGGATTGGAGCAAGTTTACGGTGCACAAGAGGCCAAGGAAGCGCGTTAGAGCCGTAGTGGAGTGAACAGTGAAAAAAGAGTGAGATTTGGTACTGGGAGAAGCTAGCCTTATGAGAAATACCTGTGGTCCAGAAGGTAGTTGTCACTGCCGGGTAGACTATCCCCGGAAATCGAACCACCACCGCCACTACCACTTTCGATTCTTTGGAGGGCGGAGTTAAGCGGAGGTCGAGACCGGGAAGAGCCATGACGAGGGTCCACTTCGAAGGGAATGTTGGAATTGCTGTTATTCCTGTTGTTTGGTAAGCAGTTAGGGAGGGTTGAAACGGATGAATCATTAGAATTTAACGCCCTTTGAAATTCTTCCTGCAGTGCGTTGTTAAGCACATGGATCCATCTGAAAAGAAAACAGTGCGTATGGAAGATATGAAGGTTGAGATGGCATGACGGCCTGAAGAACGCAGGTCAACAAATAACAATGGTGATCGAAAAAGCTGTGAATAACAGGCAGACAAAAATGACAGCTAAAAACCAGCGCGTTCCGTGTGCAACACCCTGAAGCAAAGCGATCATAGGTGCACCTGGTAAAATTGACTAACTGACAGTGGAAACAGATAGTGTTATTCTCAAGTGCGCACAAGGTAGGATAGAAACAAGGCCAGCAGTCCCATTTATAATAGATAATATGAATGTTTCCTATCAAGTGAGAAGCTGTGCCCATATTTGGCACAGATTAGACATGTACAAGTAATACCAAGCCCTTGCGTGGGCAATATGAAGTGAAATTCGTTGGACCGGGGGGTCGATTCCCCCGTCGATGCAGATTATTGTGTGAAGCTTAATTGTGACTTCTATTTTCTACGAACGTTATATACTCACAAACATCCACAATTAATCTACCATCGTCCTTTGGACATCAGAAGGACAGATACTTCTGTCCATTGGGAAGTGACGAGTGAGTGAGCCAATCTGCAACACCAGGACAGATACTGTGAGCTCATTGGCAATACGTCGCGCACCAAGCAGAAGTCATGTATTAAATTGCGCACCTAATCGTCAGCCCTCGGTAGCTCAGTGGTAGAGCAGCGGACCGGAAATTCGTGGACCGGGGTTCGATTCCCCGTCGAGGCATATTATTGTGCGTGAATTTTAGTCGTGACTTCTACTTTCTACGAACATTACATACTCACAAACATCCGCAATTAATCAATATGAAGTTGTAAGGCCTAAAGAAACGGTATATTCCTCGACAGTGCAAGACATAGTGTAACTGCCAGCCGCGATGCAGCTACCTGGATAAGTAAAGCAGTACGTCACCAACAATAGTGGGGGGCAGACACAGATAATTGCCAATCGTGCAGTAGTGTTTTAGGTTCGCCTGGTGTGAAATACAGGTCATACCTAGACACCTCCATTGCTAGGCGGTCCAAAACGCTTTGGACAGCCTGTGGATCATCCCCAAGCAAAGTGATATCACCGGCGTAGTTCAAGTCCGCGACTCCGTCACTTGAGAGAAGCTCAATACCATAGTTCTGAGGGCCTTCCAGTGCTTGCTGGACGACATCTTCGACGGCAAAATTGAAGAAACGTTAGATATGGCAACCGTTTGCATGTCGCTGGTGAGATCAAGCGAATTAGAAAGCGCGTCGTAAGACCCGACTTTACCCGACGTGTGACTGTGAAAATCCTTCAAGGTGGTTACGAACTTATCGGGCACAGCTTATCTTAGTAGACTGGACTGCCGAACACCCTCATCATAGTACTGACTGGTTAGTTCAGGTTTTTCCCGTTCTAGCGAACTGTTCGGCGACAGTGTTCCAGGTGGTGGATTTTCGTCCGACAAGCGGCCTCCATATTAAACGCTACCAATGTCCGTGTAACAACACTGCGACGTGGCGGATCCGATTTGCCACTAAGTAAGATCACTGCCCTAGGCTACCCTCCGGTGGAGCATTGTACTCCAGCAGCTTTGTGTCAAATTTGTGGGGAGGATTGGGCCGCTTTTTGGTACCTGACCAAACGAAGGGCGGATAAACGGAGAAATCGGTCACTGGCTCCCAACGGGCGCGATTCCCTGAATGCGCTCTGTTGCATTGTGGATAGGCTGTGTAGTCAGAGGCTATGGCTATATATATATATATATATATATATATATAAAAATATATATATATAAATATGAATATATATATTTAACATCCGCTTTACAGGGAACCATCAGGCAAAAGGTATTCTGTAACCTAGAACTCGGTTCAAGCTAGCAACACTAAAGGTATGCAGTTTACTGCGGATCGGACAACAATCGGGACTGGCACGCACTTTGGAAACCCTTGCAATTGGTGTCCGCTGCCTGACTGAGACACGATTTCAGGACTCTAACACAGTCTACCAGCTATTGTGACCAATCGACCCCTTCACCCGTTTACATCTTCGTCTTTCCGGGGACGCTGAGCCTACCGCTTCCGTGCAAGCTGGTGTAGCGATTGCGCTCAGTGCTTGAGACCAAGCTGCGCTCCTTCATTGCATTCTCATCCACAATCGTGTCCGTGGCAGTAGACTCTGTGGCTTTTGCAAGGTTAGCAGACATCGAGTCGATAAGCGTGCTTTTTGTGATCTCCGCCTATGCCCCAACAAGTTGCAGCACGGATGCAGTCAAGGACCAGTTCTGATCGTAAAGGCATCTAAAACAGACATCATCGTTATGACAGGAGACTTCAACTCACGCGTTGGCCGGCTGCTTCCATCTGAACGCCATCACATGGGACCACATCGATATGACGATGTTCGCTCTGACAATGGAGAAAGACTGCTCAGTCTGTGTAGTGATCACCAACTTTTCCTCTCCAGTACGAGCGTTCGTCATCCCAGGCGCCATTATGCCACCTGGCGTCCTTCATCATAAACCAGAGTTGGTCGCCAATTGACCGCATAGCCCTAAGTCGAAGGTAGCGTGAAAGCATACGGGATGGTCGATCATAGTGGTCAAGTTGTGTGGAAACCGATCATGCATTAGTGTGCGCGACAGTCTGCATGCACTTCAGTGGTTCCCCCAGGGTCAAACAAACCCGACTACTCATTTGCAAATGGTAAGATTGTGTAGTACAAAGAGAGTGTCAACAGAGGCCTTGTGAAAACCTTGCTCCCTCTCCGTCTCTGGATGCGGAGCAGCACAGTTGCACAACGTTATGCGGTCCTCAGGTGTGCCCAGATACAACCTCGTTCGCTGCACAGCTAAAAGCTGGATCTCGGCAATTTCATCGGAACTTCTAGATCATCGACGCGCCGTGCCCGCCGACGGGGGACACAACAAAATCCGTCGGTCTATGTCTGTGCATCTGAAATCAAGCCTTCGCTCGGACCGTGAATCGTATTGGTCTAGGCGTGCTTCTGAGATGGAAGCCACTGCATCGGTTGGAAAATGCTACCGGTTGTAATCCATATGCCATCAATCAGACAACCCGTGAGTTAGACGGCACAAAAATCACCAACCTGCAGAAGCGATTAGAGTGCTAGGAAAAGCACTTTGCTCTCCAATTTAACTATTCGGCACAACACTGTGACACCTACATCTCCATTGGATGGTGCTTGGCCTGCTACCACTGGCCCTCCTAGCTAAGTCGAGATCCGAAGTGCAATCCGATCCTTCAAATGGCATAAAGCTACTGGTCCGGACAGCCTTCCTCCGGCTCTTTTCAAAGACCGCAGGGATGTACATGTAAACCAATTGCTCTCGCATTCCACGTAGTTTAGAACTGGTGAGAAGGTCTTAAACTCATGGGGAGACTCAATTCTTATCTCGCTTCACAAGGTAGAGCCCCCGCGAAAAATGAGCTAATCACCGCGAAATAGCGTAGATCTCAGTTGCTTCCAAGACTTTTGCGTCCACTTTCTTTCGCAGACATTCCTCCATCAAAGAGCTTTCCGAAGAATGAGCCGGTTCTCACCTAGGCCGAAGTTGCATCATATCTTCACGATACGACAAATTCACTAGCTCCGACAGGTCCACCGTCACTAAACAATCGCAGTGTTCTTCGACGCCCGCGCAATATTCGATTCAGAAAACAGTTGCTTTGTGGAATTGTCTACTAAGGAATTGTGCCCCAAAAGTATGTTGCCATTCTGAGGGAACTGTACAGCGACACGGGCAAAATTAGGGCACACGGTAGAAGTTCCTCTACGTTTGCTGTCACCAGCGGTGCTCGTCCAAGGTTGCGCTACTTCACACATGTCGTGAAACTTGCACTAAACCGCTTGGCGATTGAGGCAACAAAGTATGGTATGTACTTTTCGCCACCAAGTGCAACGCTATCTTACAAGACTGGGAGGTGCCTGTGCCTGCACTCACTCTTGGTGGTGACAAACTACAGGATGTGAAGAGCTTTATCTAGTTGGGAAGATGTGTCACTGCTGGCGGGCTGTTGGAGATGAGATTTCGATGCGCATCTCGAGAGCACGCCTCGCTTTCTCTAGGCTGAGGCACTTGTGACGTCGCCACGACATTCGTTTCTCCATCAAAAGACGGGTCTATTGTACAAATGTCCGTGCTGTACTGTTGTACGAATGCGAGACCTGGCCCACTGGTAAAGATGACTTGCGCAGACTATCCGTCTTCCAGCACCACTGTCTGCGGTCCATTGCCCGTGTGTGGCTGCAGCACCACGTAAGCAATGTTAGACAGCGTGTCTTGGGACGAGGAAGCCACTCGCTCGAGGAGCTCGTCTCACTGCATCAACTGCGGTGGTTGGGACACGTATTGTGTATGCCTGTTCAGCGTTACCCGCGTCGTGCGTTGTTTGCGCTTGTTGGACAAGCCTGGAAGAGACGGTCTGGTGGAGAGCCTACAACATGGAGAAGCCGCAAGAAAAAGCTGACAAAACAGCTGGCCTCGGACGGTTGTTGTCGACTACCTGGTTGGGGTCCGAGAGATGCGGATAACTGCAGGTTGAAGACCTTGGAAGCCATGGCTTAAGATCGATGTCAATAACAGACGTGTGCACCATAGTGTTGCATCAGTGTGTTTCTCCTCCTAGAAAAGAACATACTGAAAAAATTAATTTTCTAAAACTGTGAGTGGTAAACTAGACAAAGCGTTCGTTGTTGTTGCTCTTTTTTATTATGTGTACTGTTTTCTTGTTCAGCCATGATTCCGATGGCACAATATCTGTAGCATAGATGGTATATATATATATATATATATATATATATATATATATATACTTCACCTTTTTTCAATTCCGCCACCGAAGAGGTCATGTAACGAGCATTAGGTATCAAGAGCTGCGGTGTTGAGCTACTCTCTGGCTCCAGAATCTCGGACCTGGACCACGCCGATGACATCGTTATGCTGGGTGGCGATTTGCTAACCGTCCAAAACACATTGCACCGCTTAGCGATTGAGGTAAGCGATTATGGCTTGTATTTTATCCTAACCAAATGTAAAGTGCTATTTTAGGATTGATAGGGGTTTGCGTCCGCGCTCACCATTGCTAGTGACATTCTGGAATAAGTGGATTGGTTCACTTAGCTAGGGGGTCGCATCACGGCTGGTGGAAGTGTTGGAGATGAGGTTTCACAGCGCCTTGCTTTCATCAAACTGAGACACCTATGGCGTAGTCATGATGTCAGTACAATGTTTCCATACATACAGTCTTGCTGTGCGGCTGTGAGACCTGGCCTGTTCGCTCGGAAGACATGAGACGACTGTCCGGTTTGACAATCGTTGCCCGCAGAGGATTCTCGTGTGTGGTGGCAACATCACAAAAGCAATACAGAGGATTGTGAACGAATGCTTGCAGTGAACAGTCCCAGCCTACAAAACGTTATTCTCTGACACCGCATGCGTGGGCTCAGCCGCGTAGTGCAGATGCCAGCCCATCGCCACCCCCCGGGGAGCGTTATCTGGGCTTGTTGGAAGTGTCGTGGTGGACAACCAATGGAGTGGTAAAGGAGCATGAAGAAAGCAGCCGCACGCTTAGCATCAGTCGGATAAGTGCGCCTCCCAGGTAGGGACCACGTGACTCGTAGCTTTCTTACTTCCATTGCTACTATGGATAACTTCCCCAAGTAAAGATCATAAAACGTTCTTATTTTCGTTCAGCCGATCAAGCGCTCAAATTCCTTTGGTAAAGATTAACATACCATACTGGTCTATTACAACTTAAAAGTACAAGTAATTTGCCACCGTTCTGAGATCCATATAATGAAGCAATTTTTAGACGAAAAGCCGCCAAGTGGATGATGGAGAGTTTTATAACAAACTCGAATGATACCTGGATAGAATTATCCCTAAAGAAAAGTGCAAGAGTAACAAACAAAAGCTAGCATCAGAACACATCCACGCCATATGCTTAAAAAACTGGCACGGTTTCGTAAACGGTGCCTAAAAACAATTGCTTTTCTCTGTAACAAAACATTTGTGTTGAACACAAATTGTTCCGTCATAGTAAGCAAACAACCTATGAAAGATGCGCGTGTACTCAGCAGCCGAAATAAGTTCCCTGATTCCGGCAGGCTGATGAAGCGAAGAAGTAAACACTCCGTGAATCCTTCCATGATAAACACCACCAACAGATTGCTAAGCGATCCTGCAGTGAGACCTTTAATCATTATTTCTGCCTCCTTCAGTAACGCCAATGAGATACTTAAAACAATCCCGCTGTATTGATGACAAACGCTATACCGTCGACTTCGATCGTAGTGACATGCTAGATCTTACTTTTCCAACACATTTACGACACACTGACAAGATTAGAAAGTGATGACATTTCCACATTGCTGGTATCATGCCCGTTCGATCGAAGAAAATCGTGCTCATTCACATATACAAATTTGGTTCCGTACACGAGGTGAAGAGCGGTTCAATTAGCCAGAATTCCAGTTCGTTTAAAATGGTGGAGTCACACACCACACGCTTGTCACGCAATCCATAGATCACGAGTTCAAGCCTGCGTACGGAACCGGGAGACCATCGCAAGATCCACGGCCCACGCGCGACTAGTGGTGATCGTGTGGTAGCGTAGCGTCGGTACGGCGTACAGGCGTACTGCTGGTGCGCCTGGCTTTAACACAACCGACAGCATGATAACAGCAAATAGTATGAACCTCTTCAAAAATGGAATTCTGAACTTTCATTCAAAACAACATGTCAGCTAGACTTTCTTAAGGAATTCACTCTATTAGTAGTTGTCAGCGATAATTATGTACCTAGAAATTCAAAGGGAATTCGATCGAGCGTCACTCAATTAGCTAGGATGCAAACTAATAACATTTGAAACCAGAGATTTTAATCAAACCACACCAATCAAACCCAGATGGAAATATCCAACAGAACACTTCCAAACCAAGGCCACAAGCGGCGTGGTACAGAGTAGTATCCTAGGCCACCTAACCGGTCTTGATATATTCCAATGACACTTTCGATATACACTTTCCGGTAAACCTTTTTATTTGCCTATGATATAAAGACTGTTCACATTTTTACTGTGCCTATGAGAGTGACATAATCAGCAACCTACAAGGTGACCTATGCTTTCTCGGATAGTAGTATTCCAAGTGGAAGATATCGTCTTCCGGTGGTAAGCGCCCTGTCGTAAGCTACAGACGCGAAGGCAGCTCTGGATCATTAAGTGATAACACCAAAACCACCACCCCAGTGCCTCATTATTTTCGATTTGGAAGGTTACTATTAGCTGAGCACGTGGAACATGTCACGTCCCGAACTACGGATATGCTCAACTAGTTCAAGGCCTGAAGAAGTATGGAATTTCTCACAAGAGAAATGGAATAGGCAAGAGAAAAAACAGAAAATAACCACCATGTAGTGGATGGTATCCATGCTGGTTTGCGGATAGCGCGAAACGTGCAAATACAAAGCCTCACCCGCTTCCAGCTGGCGGTGTTGTACCAACGCGCAAGGCAACACCAAACGCGTATCTAATGTCAGATGCGTCGTTAGTAAATGAATCAACATAAAACCAGCGTACAGGATCGAAGAGTGTGTTTGATGTATAATGCTGGGTGCTTCGAACACACTGTAATCCATGCTTGAGGGAGCTCAAGGTGCACACCAACACAATGACCCCAGTATCTTGAGTTAATGGCGCGACTCGGGAGTGTGGATGGAAGAGGAGAGGCCAAGCGATGAGTTGGTCAAGAACAATGAAGGCCGTCACTTGGAACTTGGCGTCAGTTGGTGTTTCCCGACTACCGGTTTGGGGACCGAAGGAGGATGAACACGTTTGGCTGGGTACAATGGCGGATATGACGAAGAGCCGACCTCAGTGGCGTTTGTGTTGTGAGTCTCTTTGTCCCTCCACTTCCCTTTAAGTTCCCCCTCCAAAACCATTACAAAAGCTATGCATAATGAGATATTCAGCATAATGTTACATTTAATAGTCTTTTTAGTCGGTATCGTTCAATCGCTTATCTTGTTTGTACGGCGACACCTTAGCTGAGTGTGTCTCTCACCCTCGCTAACGTGTATTGAAGTTGATGATGATGGGACTCAAGGAGCTCTAATCAAGTGGGTGGATGATGATGCTAGAATCCATACACACTGGTCAGAGTTATAAGTGCTTACTCCTCAAATTCTTGATCATCTTCCGCTTGGAAATTGTATGTTCGGCTATCTGTAAATAAAAGAGGCGTAGGGTGAGAAAGAGAAAATAGGATAAACCAAACAATGCAGTACAACGGCGTAACTATAATCAAATAGTTAAGTAAGAGAATAAGGAGGAAAGACCAGAAATGAAGCATGAGTGTCTGGATCAAACTTTCATGGTGTACGTGCTTACACCGTGTTAGCAACACACAATCCGGACAGTAGACGCGAAGATAAGATGGTCGAAGAGAAACAGGTTTGTTGAGGTTTTCCTTGTTACGTGTCAGCATAGATAACACACCACAGATAGCGCAGCTACACACACAGATTGGATAAGCAGTCTGACATAGAAAAGACGGAAAACGCACCATTGTTACTGGCCATAAACCATGCCGCACAAAGTCTATAGCAAAATACAGGGTGGATAACGAAGATCAGAACCTGAAATGCGACACAAACACAACCGTGCTTAGTAATCAATGACTATCTTTCCCGATACCGCAGCAATGGCTGTCCACAACAAAAGTACACCATTTGTGATTCTGTAAACAGAACCACTCTTCCTGTTAGGCAACGTGGGGCATTTATGACAGACGACACAACCAATGCAGCATATTTTGTTCAATTATTAGTTGAACGAGTTAAACTGCCTAACGCAGCGTAGAACTCCGTACGTACCCGTTGCTGAGCACACGATGGTGTCGTACGACAAGTGACACAATAGAAAAGGGGAGTTAACGACTTAAATATGATTGAGATCTTAGAACTAAGGAGGCTAAATATCGTGGTTACAGAAGAGGGTTCCCAGTCGTACTGCACACATTGTCTTTGAGAACGAGAGAAATTCCATTCTGGTACCACAAACGTCGGAGATTCATGAAGACACTATTAAGCTGCGATACGCAGAGACACCAGTAGTCACTCGCCCGTCCCTATTAATGCACGTAATACATTGGTGCTCAACCTTTAGAGGTTGTTACCCACAAAGTGGGTTCACTATAAACAATTACTCCTAGAATTTTAACAGAGCAAAATCAAGGAACACATCTGCGGAATATCCTAAATTCAGTATATTTCGTGTATTCTCTTCAGCCGCTTACGTACAACGGTTGAGAGTAATAGATCAATACCAGAAATCGATGGTCAGTTGCGTTAGCTAGTCTGTCTTGCCTCACCAAGGGAAAGCAAGATTGGCCACAAACTCGTTGTTTGTATAGGTTAGGTTTCAAACGCCGGATGGCGGAAGCCTCAGCAAAACGTAACAACTTGGGGTTGCTCTGTCTGTTGATGAACTTGAATGCTTCGTGGGGGTTCTGACACATCGAGCAGTCGAATAAGTGCCGGGCCAAGGAGCTGGCAGGGAATATTGCGCCACGGAGAGCAAGATTCCGCGGAATGTGTTCTGAAGAGAATACACGAAATACACTGAATTCAGAATATTCCGCAGAAATGTTCGTTGTTCTCGCTCTCCTAAAATTTTAGTTTAAAAAGTTAATTAACTATTAATAATGGCAGTCTTTGCCTTATATTACGGAAAAGGAATAATATCTTACATTAATTTTATCGTTAAAAAAAGAAAAAACCTATTTTGAACAATTATTATTAAGTCATGAGGTGACGGTTGATAGTGGTTAGTTACAACATTTTCTGGTATCGTTGGTGCGATTTCGGTTAAATCACACCATAAGTAGCGCTCCGAGTTCGTTTGGTTCCTTGCTTTGATATGTGATCCCAGATCAAGCATGAACAGATGTCAGTGGCTTCTTATTTGTTTCAACCATCCCTTCCAAATCCGTCCTGGATGACAGCATCACAACACCATTTGGTACCGATGCCCGTATCAGCAGCGGTGTCCATAATACATCGCAGGCTATCCCCAACGCGCGAATCGATGCAGCAAAAAGAATAAGTTGGGTTTCGCCCTGGTCGCCGCTGCACCGAGCAAATCTTCACACCACGCCAGATCCTCGAGCTCCGCCATGTGTATCAGAAGCCGACGATTGCTGTGTTCTTGGATATCCGTGAAGACTTTGATTCTGTCAATCGGACGGTACTGTGGCCCTGCCTACTGCGGAACGGCGTCCCCGAGATCGTCTCCATACTGCGCGTTCCCTATGGTCTGACTTCGAGAAGAGTTATGACTTATGAAAAGAGTTCGCCTTCCTTTGTGGTATCCAGTGGACTCATGTGGTGAAGGACAAGCCATAAGTTCTTTTTGCAGTTGATGGTAGATCGGGTCTAAGTCAATGCGCAGGTTTATGGAGCTCTCCGTAGAGAACCATGCTTCGAGAAGTTCTCTTCTTCGTGTTGTTTCTCCCGGCGCTAGGACCTCCGTCTGCTCACAAGCAAACATGTATCCTTCGTCGTCGACATGTGTCGAAACCAATGATGATGGATAAAGGTTTCGACAGGTTCGCTTGTGTTCTTGTAACCTTGTAGATAACTTTCTCCCTGTTTGGCCACATAGCGTTTATCACAATTTGTACACTGTATCCTGTAGACAGCCTTCCGACGTTCATATGCTCCCGTCTTCCTCTTCAGTCTAGGGTTGATTTCAGAGCAGCGGTTGGTATGTTAGCTAACAACAGGTGGTAAGGCTTGATGAGTAGAGTAGTCATTTCCGATACGTTCTTGATGTAGGGTAAAGCGATCCGTCCCATTGTTGTTGGTTCAGGTGTGGCATTTGTAGTCTTGCAGGTTATGTATCTTCGGATGAAATTGCGTGGATATCCATTGCGCATGAAGGATGTAAACAGATGGTTTTCTTCTTCTCGTTTTGCTTCCTCAGTATTACAATGTGATTCTATCCTGCGAAACAAGGTTCGTATGCAGCTGATTTTGTGACATTTTCGACGGTTGCAGTTGAAATTTAGGATTTGATCAGTGTGCGTGTTTTTCCTCTGAACTGATGTTCCTAGTTCCCCGTCTGCTGTTCTAGTTACCAGTACGTCCAAGAAAGGTACATTATTTTAAATTTCTGACTTCATGGTGAAGTGAATGCTATCCATTACATCTTTCAGCAAGCGTTGTGCGATCAGCAACTGGCTGCGTTTGAGTATCACGAACGCGTCGTCAACATAACTGACCCACAATTTTGGGTCATCGGTCAATGATCGCCTAGTACGCACTAACAAGGTCACCTCCATTGGTGATGAAACGTCTGCAACAAAATAGTTCGGCTTGGATAACAAACATAAAGCTATGATATGTACTTTTCGAGGTCCAAATGCAAGGATGTCTTTCAAGACTGGGAGGTTCCTCTGCCTGCACTCACTCTTTGTGGTGAGACACCGGTTGTGAAGAGCTTTATCTAGTTGGGAAGATGCATCACTGCTGGCGGGCTGTTGGAGACGAGCTTTCGATGCGCATTTCAACAGCACGCCTCGCTTTTTCTAAGCTGAGACACTTGCGACGTCGCCACGACATACGTCTCTCCATCGAAGAACGGGTCTATTGCGCAACTGCCGTGCTGTACCGTTGTACGAATGCAAGACCTGGCTCATTCGTAAAGATGACTTGCGCAGACTATCCGTCTTCGAGCACCGCTATCTGCGGTCCCCTGCCCGTGTGTGATGGCAGCATCACGTAAGCAATGTGGAAGTTAGACAGCGTGGCTTGGGATGAGAAAGCTACAGATTGGGTATAAGATAGTAATATATAATCCATACATGCAGAACTCTAATAGCCTGTCCCGTCTACCTTGTAAACATTCGGTTGCTCCTTTATCTGGTCGGCTGACCTATGCTCCCAACTTAGTGTTCACACAACTCTATAATTTGACCCGGTGAACAACTGGCTGATTGAAAAGAACAACGATCGACAAGGAAGCCGATGCAGGCGCTAGCTAGGTGCATCGCTTCGTAGAATTGCATACTTATTTTAAGCAATAAAATGTAGTACGAAGACCGCTTAATTCACTGACTACTCAATACTGACTAGTCAATAATGGCTAGTTAATAGTAATTCTGTAGTTAGCTACATGTTTTGCTACAGGTGATTTTGTCTAGCGACAGATTTACGACCTAATCCCCTTACTCATATTTACCATCTGAAAAATTTCATTTTGAGAACCACTGATATAATGGCATAGAGCGCTGAGCGCTTAACCCCAGTTTCTCGTCGAGGTGGCTTAAACGGTTTGTAATTAGATGGCGGTCTTGTAATAGCACTTTAAAGTTGTGAAGTGCGCATCAAAGGATGGGATAACCAAAGTCTGTCAAAAATGATTGATTATGAACAGTTGAAAAAAATTTGTCCTTATACACTAAATGAACTCTTACTCCTCTAAAAGTGTATCGGCAGTATGCCGGTACGTCGCATCGACCCTTCGTTGCTACGCAGCCATTAGCAGTCGCGCGTGGGCAAGGTATACTGTCCGAATCTACGCAGGCTCAAAACTAGTGACTATCACATTCGGCCACCGGCTTGACGCGACAGCTCAATATATGTATCGTAAGATTTCAAAAGTGAAAGCATTATGACGTACTGTGGCAAGAATGAGAACAAAAGTGGTGAAATAAGATGGAACTGAAGCTCACCACATGCTTTCGGGAAGAAGCCTGAGTGTGGGACACGCACACACAAAACATTCGTTAACAATATCTATCGGGAGAATATGTTAAACAGAAAACAATAGTCGGCTGAAGCGGTCCTGCTGTTGAAACCGCGAAATAAACATTAGTCGGCCTGCACTACGCATAACGCTGCTCTACCACATACACAGTGTGAAAACGTGATCAATGCAGCCACGTCCCAGATGAACAGATATACGCATAATCTTGTGCAAAATTCTTGTTCCGCGTTGAGGTGGGCGGTAACCTTAGTATTACAGGCGTCAAGCTGCAGCCGCTGAAATGGACGCAAATTTGCGACCAGTTTATTCGAAAATCGTCCTAAGGATAGAAGCATCACATTTTAACACATCCTCCTCCTCCCGCATTTTCCCCCAACCGATGAGGTATTTGCTGACGTAGCACATTATTAAATCTATGAAAGCACCGGCAAGAGACGATCGGGACAAGCAACTGAACAACGGACGAGGATAGTGGTAACGGTTCAAAATCTTATTTTTCGCCAAGACCAAATGAGATTAACTAAATCGGATAAGGCGGCATTCAAGAAGGATATTTGATAGACTGAAATGAACTAACTGGAAATGAGATCAAAATGATTCCGTAGTTCAGAGATGGGATGAGCAACAGCGGAGATATCCGACGTTTCCGGTTGCTGTCCGGTGGATTCGAAAGGGAGTTTGATCTGACAAGTGAGCAGGGCAAGGCGAACCGGTGGCTTGGTTTCGTCTGCGTGATACAGACAAAGTTCGCCATCACCAATGCGAACCTTGCGCCTTTGCCACACACGCTTTACCTGCAAAGGTGAAAAACAATAAGAAACAATGACAAATTCCAGTAACCTTGGAAACAAAGGATTGCTAAGGATAAGTGAAAATAGACTACGATTCGACAGACAAGAAAATACCCCGCTCCAAGCACAGGTGCACAAGTGAACACTGCAAAAGATGTAATCGATCTACCGCAATGGTAGTAATTTAGATTCGGATCTTACGAAGCATCAAGATCCATAATGACTACGTCGTAATCCTATAACACGTTGCAATTCTTTGACGTCTATTCGAAAAAGACGGAACGATCTTCACTGATAGTATCGCACGCGCAGAGTAGCCAATCGACTCCATAACGGTACAGCTTAAGAGACTTAACGGTTAGACGCTGCGCCCGCGCGTCGAGACTGGAAACGAAAGGTGTACTCTTGCAAGATTGCAACGAAAAGTAGGGAAGAAAAACTGTGTGATAGCAAGAGATCGTTTACTGACTCCCACACACGCGAGGAGACTGTTACAACTTCGTACGTAATACTCAAGTAGAGCAGTGCAGTTAATCAGTTGCAGAATTTGAATGTTGGTGGGGCACATGAGTTGTCACGTAGTGGCAATGTCCTGAGGCCTGCGATGGTAGGTAGAGCAACATTACGGGGATAGTTTAGGTTGAGTTTGCGTCGACACATAACAGCGGTTCAAAAGGGAAGATCTCAAGTGCCACCTGCAAAATTTGAGTCTCCGTACAGTGACATCATTACTGAGGTGAGATCAGGCGAACTCTGCGCAAATTTTGACGATCTACGCGAGCTTTGCAACGATAAAAACAGTCGGCTTCAGACGACAGATAGTGTTCAAATGAGGTGGCAAACTGCATAGAATGTGATCGATACACCGTGAGGGGAGTGTCATGACAGGGACACATGAAAGAGAAAGATAAACGAGGACTAATCACTTCACCTTTCCATCGGACTTCTTCAGGAGAAATCCACTTTTTCGAGTACCATACGAACGATTTGTTTGAGCTGGGGGAGCTGCATACGTCACTCCAGACTGTGAGGACTGAAGGAAGGAATGGAGATGTTAAAGAGAATCAAGCACGGCAGTAACAAAAGTGTGTACATAAAGACGCTGAGTGGGAGGGACAAATGGCAAGGTAATACTTTTGTTTAAAGGAGACCGGTAACTAAATAATTCCGAGATAATTCGCATAGTGTTAGTAACAGAAACGAAACTAAAATAAATTGTCAGCTGTACGCCGAAACGGCGCTTCGCTGCTGTGTGACCACCACTAGTCGCGCGTGTGCTGAATGTATCGCGAGGACACTCACCCGTGTGAGGATTCGAATCGGTGACCTTATGATTGCAAGCCAGGCGTGCAGACCACTCGGCCACCGGCCGACTGCATTATTGAAAATACCAAACGCATAAACGACTGTTACACAAATGGAAGACACTGATGGGGAGTTTACACCTTCGAGAAATGAGAATAATGTGCCACACCACCAAATGAGACTATGTGTCATCGAGGTGTAGCAAGAAAATTCCAAAAGATGAGAGAAGAAAGTAGCAGGAAATGAAAGCATAAGCATGATCTGGATCGAGAAAACCCTTCGACGGTAATGACACCGTGAGGAAATGAAATGACTTATAGAGATGAGAACATAGTGCTACCTGATCCAGGAACAGAAACTCGGGAGGTTCATAAGATGGGCATTTCCCAATGACATGAGCGTCATATAAGGTAAAACGAACGATGAGAGTACGGTGGTCTAAGCTATAAGTGCCCAAACAAATATTCAAAAGTACTCCCCTCTGGAGGAGACCAATGGATCGGATAGGTCCGAGTTAGCTAAGGTCAGTGAACGGCAGTCGGTGCATGACGCAGTGAAAAAGCGAGAAAGCTGCTAACAGAGGTGGAAGGCGACGGGTAAACTCCATGGTGAAACAGAGTATTCGCACCGTCCTAAAAGGATGCACGCAAGCTAGACTCCTTGCGTTGGCACTAGTCAGCGATTAAAAAATAAAACGAACGGGATTGGGCGGAAGAAAAGCTGTCTAACTTGAGCTTAGGGGAAGGTGGTGCAGGGGATACAATCGAGGGCGTGGAAAGACAGGCATAAGTGCAGAATGGAATAAACCAAACAGAAAGCATTGTGATTGCTTAGAAAAGTGAATGAGAAAATGACCAGCAACTCCGCGCCAAGTATCAGCCGAGTGTGGTGCGGGTGCAACCAATCTGCGTGATTAATTTAGCTGAGATAAATGAACCGAAACAACTGTTCATAACAATATGGAGATTGCGTGAAGGCAACTTAGGGGTGCCAGGAAGGCAGCAGACCGGGTGACAATACACAAACGAATTGGCGTACACGGACAACAAGCTTACATCCTTCTCCAACAAGAATCGAATCTCCTCGCGCGTATCCAGCAGCCGGCGCCGTTGTGTATCATGCGACTTTTGCAAAGCACCAACCCGGGCAGTGAGCTCGTTCATAGACTTTCCAAAGTGATCCATGACGCCCAAGCACTCTCGGAGGCAACTAGGATAGGCAATACAGGAATAAAATGCAAATACAGTCATCAATAGAGGGAAAAACGAAAAAAAGCACCAGTAATACGCCAGTATACAGTGCCAACGCTTCGCTGCCGCGCAACCACCACCAGCCGCACGTGGAGTAAGGATACTGCGAAGGCCGCCAGGCCCCTATGCAGGTTTGTGAGTCCTAAGGCTACGGGCCGGATCAACGGACGGAATATTGTTAAAGACAAACAGGGCTGAGGCACCAATGGATCCGAGGTGCGGAACACTGCTGGGAGAAAGATGGGATGACGAGTTCTGGAAGCTAATAATAAAGCATGAATCCACATAACAAGCCAAAAATCTCGGATTTGATCAGCTTTCAGTGCTAGAGCCGAGTTCGTCCCCCTTGACTGCATTCCAGTCAACAGTCGCATATGCGCTATGAGGTTCCTTGGCTCTAGTAAGGTTAACAGGCATCGCGCAGACAAGTATGATCTTTTCGTGATCTCCACCTATGGGCTCACTGACAGGAGCCCGGATGCAGTCAGGGACCAGTTCTATCAACATCTTTATAAGCTGCTCCTAAATCCGTCACAAACAGACATCGTTGTTAAGGTAGGAGACATAAACGCACAAATTGGTCGGCTGTTGCCATCTGAACGCCACCTCAGTGAACCGCACGGGTTTGATGTGTGGTGTGCGGTGTGGTGTGTGCGATAGTTTGCATGTGTTTCGGCGGTTCGCTCAAGATCAAGCACACCAGACTCAACACTAACAAGTTGGAGGAACTGACTATGAAAATGCAGCATCAATAGAGGCTTCGTGAAAGTTTCGCACTACGCCATGCTCTGGAGGTTGATCAACACTGGGCAAGTCCGCAACAAGCAATGCTGTCCGCTGCCTTGTCCAGATGCGGACTCAACTTTTGCACAACCAGAAGCTGGAATTCGGTAAGCTCCTCGGAACCGCTAGATCGTGGACTGTCTGTGCCTACCGGCGCGGAACAATGAACTTCACCGGCCTATCTCTTAACAGCCGAAGTCAAGCATCCGCTCTGACCGAGAATCCTGATGGTCTAAAGGAGCTGACGAGACTAAAGCCGCTGCATCGGCTGGAAATCTCCGCCGTTTGTGTTACCTCATCAAGACCACTGATTGCAAATCGACACGCTGTCGGTCAGACGATTTGCGAGTCAAACGGCACGACCAACCTCCACAGGCGCTTGGGTCGCTGGGCAGAGCACATTGCTTTCCAAGTTAACCGCTCAGTACGCTCTACTGTGACACTAGTTTTCCTCGGATGGTGCTCGGTCGGTTGCCGAGTGGTCTGCGCACCTGGTTTGCAATCATAAGGTCCCCGGTTCGAATCCGCGTAGCAGTGGGCATCCTCGTGGCATACTTAGCCCGCGCACGACCAACAAAGAACCGTTACGGCGTACAGCTGACACATTATTATCTAATATTATGGCCTATCGCCACAGATGCTCCTACCGAAACAGAGATCCGCAGCGCAATCCAATCTTTGAAGCATCATAAAGCTTCCGGTGCCGACAGCCTATCCCCAGCCCTGTTCAAAGATGACAGGAATGTACTTTTTAAACACAGACTATCATTCTTCACGAGAATTTGGACTGCCGAAGTCCTAATTGCAGGGGGATAATCGGTCGTTGTTCCGATTCACAAGAAAGGCTCTCGTAAGGATTGAACAAATTACCGTGGAATATTCTGCACTTCTGTTGTGTCCAAGATTTTCATACCTGTCCTACTCCGCAGGCTCTCAATGATTAGAAAAGGGGTTTCTCAAGAGGAACAAACGGATTTCCGTCTAAGTCCAGGATGTATTGACCACATCTTTACACTCTGCAAGCTACTTGAAATCCGGCACCTCCAACGACGGCCAACAATCGTAGTTTTCTTGGACATCCGAGCTGTCTTTGGCTCAATAGATAGATCCGCGTTGTTTAACTGTCCACTAAAAAAGGTGTGCCCGACAAGTTTGTAACCACTTTGAAGGATCTCTACACTGACATGTCGGGTAAAGTCAGGGCTTACGGCACGCTTTCCAATTCCTTTGCTATCAGCAGCTGTGTGCAAAAAGTTGTCACATCTCACCTTTTCACTCCAATTTTGCCATCGAAGATGTCGTCCAACGAACATTGGAAAGTCCTAAAAACGGTGGTATTTAGCTCCTCCCAGGTAACAGAGTCGCGGGCTTGAAGTACGCGGATGATATCGCTTAGCTTGGGGACGATCCACAATCCGTCCAGAGCGCTTTGAACCGCTTAGCAATGAATGCAAATGTAAAATACTACACCAGGATGCCCGCGTCCGCCCTCATTATTGCTGGTGACGTACTGGAACAAATCTTCTGCTTCACTTATATAGGGGATTGCATCACGGCTGGCGGCGGTGTCGGAGATGAGCTCTCACAAAGGATCGCAAAGGCCCGCCTTGCATTCGTCAGACTGTGACACCTATGTCGTTGGCATGAGATTAGTCTCAAGCTCAAGGGAAGGGTGTACATCGCCTCCGTGCATGCGCTCCTCTTGTACGGCTGCAAGACCTGGTCGACTCGTTTGGAAAACATAAAACGATTATCATGTTTCGAAAATCGTTTTCCACGTAGGATTGCTCGCGTGTGCTGGCAGCATCACGTGACTAACGCAGGAGTAAGGGAACGATTGTTTGGAGCAATCAACACACGCCTGCAAACCGTTATTCTCCGACACAGCATGCATTGGCGCTGCCACGTATTACGCATGCCAGCCGATCGCCTTCCCCGGCAAACGTTATTTGCGCTACACGGAATCGATTGGAAAAAATGCCGCGGTGGACAATCAATGACGTGGAAAAGGGAATGAAGAAGGCAACTTCAAGCTTAGCTTCCTTCGGACCGGTCCGCCTACCAGGATGGGGAACACGCGACTCGAACTACCAGTGGTTAGAAATGCTGGAAGGTATGGCGCGCAACAGGCATCAGTGGAAACAGTGCTGTTCAACCGCGTTATCTATTAGGTAACGTTTCATCCAAACACAAACAGATCTCAAAACGGCGTGTATAAAACCGAAGAAATCGTTTTCCCATGTTTTATTTCGTTTCTATCCTTTATTTCGCTATGGTTCTGATGGTACATTATCTGTAGTCAGATTGTGAATTTTATCCGATAAGAACGGAAAGTGACGGAACTGGAGTACGACAGACAGCAGATTTGCAAAGTAAACTGAGCTGACCTGGTTATGTTGATGATAACAACCAGACACAAAGCAAAAACAAGAGCAGTTTTCACGACTGAAAAATCGTTGGCTTAAAGTAAGCGACTGAATCCGTGAAGGTCATTCAGACGAAGTATGATATTGAGTAGCCTTCTGAGAATCAAAACAAAATCTGTGTTGTGATCGGAATGTTATTCACGAAAAGCTGCACCATCTAAACCGCAGAAAAAAAATTGAATCGCGATTCCAAAATGGCACACTTCGCAAAGTAACAACTGATGTCCACTCAATGACATCCGCTTGAACTGCTCTGGCGGCGCTCGCTATTTGTATAGTGAAATTCCAGCATATACACTCTTGCCTTTTCGGGAGCTACGTTGAGCTTCGTTCATGCAAGGATGAACCAAATCTGCATTGCTCACACCATGAGTGCAATAATGGTTAGCTAGCTTGCTTGCAGGTCATTCCCTTTCCGTAGTTCCAGTTGGTTAGCTTCCAACTTTCAGGTTCGTTGACGCGCACGGTTGTTCAGACCAATCAGCGCTTCTTGTCTGGAACCATGCTCGTGCCCTTCTGTTCTGTGGTCCGCATGGGATACGCCAGCACACCGTATCGCGTCAATAACAGCCGAGGTGAGTGGACCCGTAGATCTCAATGGAGAGAGTAATGTGATGGTGATACAAGCACTAGGCCACACACAACATTCTGATTTGTAGAAATTCGAAGCGGTTAGAAGGCTTGCTTGATGGACACATTTGATTCAAATCGTCAGAAAAGGTATTCAATAATGAATACTGAATCTCGGTAGACCAAGAAAAATAGACAAAAGGTAAAATCAATGGAAGTAACAGAGATGTAAAATAGGATGATGAGTACAACGATACTAAGGGCACTTGGTGGACGCGTCATACCAACCACTGGTGTAGTCGACCCAAACGTAGCAGCCAAAGTGAATGATATGAACCAATCCAGCTAATTTTCATCGAGCTCTTATGCTTGTTTGGCACGTCACTCAACGGTCACTTTATTGCAATGTATTGGTGAATGACACGCACCGATTCAACCGGCTGGCACACGTACAGAGAGTGCGACTCCAGTTTAACCAATAGTGTTGTGAGACACCAGTGAGTCTGCCAACAGACAGCAAATGACACATCTGTGGTGCTCGTGTGGTGCTTATTATTAGACAAGGAATACTCCGCAGGTGGCAGTGATCAATGACGACCAGTCTCGTAATGCCTCTAAAGCGATGTGGCCGGGTTTCTGATCGATTCATTTACAATGGTCGTACCACAGACGAAGGTTTCGAGAAACTACGGAGACATTGCTGATACCTGACATGACCATTTTAGTAGTTTGGCCATCCGAAACGAGAAGGTACCTAGACAAGCAATCGATCGACCACTCTAAGAAGATACTCATTGTCTGCGAGCATATCGATTAGATACTGCAGGAAGATCTTGTGCGCAAAGTAAGGGTTGAAGTGTGAGATGATCTATGTCAACCCATGTTGAAGTATTTCTACGGAGAAAACGTCAGAGTAAAGAACATAAGTGTTACCCACGAAGCCCAATTCGTCATTTAACTATTCAGTAGAACTTTCTCTCCGGAACATACGCAAAAGAGAGTTAATTATAATCACGTTGATCGCAAAGCTGAAAAAGATATAGGATATTGGGCAATCCTGATGCAGGGGGGGGGCTGTGCAAAGTTTACAATAAATTATTACTCGGTGTCAAAAGTTACGGAAGATAGATTTCAGGAGAGAAAGTAGTTTTCTTCGCACGTCCCGCGAGATTAACGGCAT